CATATGATAAACTGTTAATATAAATCAGGAGCTGGTAAAAGAGGAAGAGGGCGACCAGAAAGAACAAAAAGAATTTCCTCTTGTTTGCAAATCGAGGGGATAACGTTAAAAGCCATTTATCCTGAACACACTGCTGGAGCAAGTGAGAGCAATTCATCAATTTTCCACTCTTCCAAGAGGCTCTATCCCTTCCACACTCTGTCTAAACTAATGTAGCGCCCTGCTAATAGGAGTGCTAAAATATATCTATAGTCTATGTTCAGTTCAACTGTTACAGAGCAATCTGTGAAGCTGTGTCTGCCTGTGGATGGGTGTGGTACCACACAGAGCAGAGCAGCCAATGAGGATTGCTTTGGGCATTTATGTCTCCCAGCCAATCACTGTAGGACAGTGACAGTGATGCATGCTGGGAGAGGGGATAAATGCTGAGTGTGGCTGATGCAACGCTCTCTTCCCTCCCCCAGGGCCTTCCTGGGGGCAGGATGCCTGATGCTGAAGAGACAGAATGGGCTAGGCCTAAGCCTGGGGCGTAGGCCTGGACACTGGGGCCTGAGCCTGGAGGCCCAGTGGTCAGCCACTCATGTTGGAGTTGAACCTGAACAAGAACCTTTACAGTACTGCTTGCCAGAAGTTCTCCACACAGATTGCCGGAACGGCTTAAAGGTCCAAGTCTGTGGAGGCAGCAGTTACTATGCTCTATTTCAAGTACAAGGAGTCTACCTCATCCTGGATGCGCCTGACCCTCTCCCTCTCTCCCTGGAGTTTCAGAAATAAAAGAGAATCATCTTGGAGCTATTGTCTGGACTTCAATTTGTTGGTAACCACTGAAGGTGGTAAGTGCTATTGGGGCAGTCATGTGTTTTAATAATCCCTAGACAGGCTATGGAAGTGCCCGATCATCCAGCCGCTCCTTCGGGGGTGAGTGCTACACTAACAAACAGAAAAGTTTCACTAGAGCTTGGCTTCAAAGAGTATTTTTTGCCCCACAAATCCTTGGTATAAAACCTAACACAAAAAGGACAAGCCACCAAGCCACCCGACTGCATGCGACGGACTCCCGCTGCATTATGAAGCATCTGACAGATGCCGGCAGATCTCTGCTTTATCAGCTTCTTTTGGGGTTTTAACTGCCTCCGGGCCGACCGTAGTAGAAAAACGGCCGGCCCGGAGCTCTCTAGATCTGAGCGGGCGTCTTTAGACGTCCGCTCAGACATGCCCCCTTTTTTTAAAAATGGCCATTTCCCGGAGCACGCGAGCGGGAAATGGCCGTTTCGTTTGGAGACCCCTGATGTCTCCATAAAGAGGACCTGTCACATATTTTGCTATCACATAGGGGGGGTTTATTAGCTCCCTATGTGATAGCAATAAAGTTTAGTGGGAAAAAAAATTTACGTTCCCCCCCCAAAAAAAATGTAAAGTTACACATAAAAAAGAATAAAAAAACACAAAAAAAAGGTTTAAGTCCCCACTCACACATACACGCATGCAAACATGCGTCGGGCCGCATACGTGCAAAAAAGACGATTGCGCCCATTACGCCGCACATGTTACATATCGCCGCGAACGTCGCAGTGAGAGCAATAAGTCTAGGGCCATCAATCACTGATAACACTAAACTGATGAGCGGTAAAAGCTTTTAAAGTGTCGCCTATGGCCAATTTTGGGTATGGTAGTTTTCTGCGATTTCGCGGGTGCGCGCAATTTTTGAGCTTGACATGTTTGGTGTCTATTTACCCAACGTATAATAAACGTCAGTCAAAGTACTGCAGCGCTGAATACTGAAAAATGGCCTGGCCAAGAAGGGGGTCTAAAAACCTGTTCTTGAAGTGGTTAAAGACCTTTTATTTCCAGGATGAAGGAAGTATGTAAGGCTCTAGTAAAGTATTCTTAGAAAAATACAGGGCTGCCATTCCTGTCCTCCACCCTGAGATAATTCAGTTGTTCGAGGTTGGTGGCAGTCTGAATAACATGCTTCTTGGGCTTTTTGCAGAGACACCAGAGGTAAGATACCCTACCGGAATTCACAGGACAACTCTTGTGGCCAAATGATGGGTTTCATCATAATGTGGAATTAACGCATAATTGGGAATTACAGTTGCAAGACAGTGACTGTATGGGGAGCAGAGGAAAGTATACAAGGTTCTGTTTGGATCTTGCCAATAAAGTATCCAAGAGCTAAAACAAGGCCCTTGAGGATTCTACCTACCTTGGGGAAACCCAAGATGAATTATCAGAATGATCGATGTACCATGGCATCTCAGGAAGTATGGTAGCATGGCCTTGTGAAGCATGACATTTTGTAATATTGCAAAATAGCCCTGTGTAACACAGCACTTTACTAAAATAGAATATGGCAGTACTAGGGATGTTCAGATACCAAGTACCGTATTTGGTACAAGTACAAGTACTGATACTTTTCCAGCTCCAAGACTAGTCTAGAGAAAAACTCAGTTAGGCAGCGGCTGTCATTTTTAAGGAGCATTGGCTACAGGGCTCCTGGGATTTGTGCATCCCTGTTTTTATTAGATTTGTTATAATATATATATTTCTGACACACTACCAGAACTTTTTATGAATCTACAGAACATCACAATATTCATGTATGTGGTATATCTCTGATCTGTTTACGGTTTATCTGTCATCCTACGTTTATTTTTTCTGTATTTTGATTATCAGGAGGCATTTTTTATTCCCAGGTCCAACATTTATGACACCCCACTAACCCCCCCCTCCCCTCCCCCTCCCCCCTCCTCTAACAGCTTTCTCTTGTCATGTTGCTTAGTATTGCTTCTGACCTGAAGAAGAGAGGTTCACTCTCGAAAGCTTGTCTTTTATATATTTTGTTAGTCCAATAAGAAAGGTATCATTGCACACTGCAATACTGCGTTTTTTTTTATTTTTTTTTTATTTTTTTTGTTTTGAAACAAATAAAAACTAAAAACACTTTAATTCGTTTCGTCACATTTTTATGCTGTTTTGGAATCGAAGGCAATGAGCCCCTGCATCCAAAACCGCACATTTAAATTGCAGAATGCACGGCGGCCATATTGGCCAGGATTTTTTCCTCCCACTGGCCACTGACATAGGGCATTTTTAACTCCCACTATCCCAGACATTTTTTTATTTTTCTGTCCACCAATACTGGGCAATTTCCTCCCATTGATCCAGGACATTTTTATTTCTCAGAGACCACTGAATCCAGATAGACACACACACACTCTCTCTATGCTGTGCAATATATAGTGCTGGCCAAAGTGTTTATTTTCTACATAGTTGATCATTGCTGTTGAATTTGCAGCTAATAAAGTGCTTCTTTATAGTAGGCTCAGACAAGGTGTTAGTTTTAGTTTTTTGTAATTCTGTGTTTGTGTACAGTAAGAAGGACTGTCATTCACAGCATAAAGCACATTATAGAGGATGTTGTGGGTACAAGAACTGCAGACTGTGTACAGTGTATACAATTTGTAGGCTCTGGCTGGCTCCGCCCAGCTGTCAGAAGCAGGCTGTCGGCCAGCTTCGGCTTTCAGCACGGCTCAGCGCCCGTACAGCAGCCCCTCGGTTCTCCTGAACCAAAGGGGTCCTGGGGCCGAAGCCAGCCGAAGGATCGGCCGAAGCTACGGCCAGATCCTTCGGCAGCTTTATGAATAGACCCCTATGTAACCATGCTCCTGTAAGCCAAGCCCAATATTCAGTGCAATTTTGCCACCCACACCCATCCATTTATAGCCACACCCTTTTTTAGTATGGTGCCTGGAGGGCGCTGCATGTCGTGCGGAGGGCGCTGCATGTCTTCTCCATCCCGAAGTGTCTCACTTTATCATGTTCCAAAGTTGGGAGTTATGTGCTCACAGTAAGGCCTCATTCACACTGGAATCGGCCGTCACATACAGTTCCGTGCTGCGTGCAGGGCCGTATCGGACAGCTCCCGGGAAGGACAGATGCTGCGTGGGACTACGCAGCCGTACGCCCCCCTACGCTCACCCGACCTGCATGTCCGTGCGGGTGTGGGTGAGCGTATTCGTACGCTGACAGGATGGATCCTGTCTGCGTCTGAGCCAGGAAACACACACCCCTATGGACCTGCACTTAAGGACGAGGCCTAATCACACCTGTCCTTCCCAGGAGCTGCTCAATACGGCCCTGCACGCAGCACGGAGTTGTACGTGCCGGCCGATTTCAGTGTGAATGAGGCCTAAATGTTTATTTCCCTTTACATATCTTTTATATTCATCTATTTGTTATTGCAAACAAAAACTGGTGCATGGACCTAGCATAATAGATTAATGAATTCAGGCATGTAAAAAGTCCTCATACTCATGGCCAGTGACATTTGGGATTTTCAGCACTCTCCGGAGCAGACTGGGAGCCGTGCTATACACAGTTTTCAGAATGGACTTACCTACTTCCTACTTCTCCAATTCTACTGGATTCTTACATGTAATTCTCTTGATCCCTCTGATTTTAACCCCCAAAAAAGGCTAATTTTAACACTTTATGATTATTATTATTATTAATATTATATGTTTAAGTGGTAACTTTATTTTACACAATTAGGTGCAATTGTCTTATATTTAATGTTAATAGATAGTTATCTAGTCCTTAGAGTTACTCTGACTATTGTTAATATCAAATTTGCTTTGCTTCTTTCCTTTTATTCCCCTAATGTTTGTTACACTGGTGTCATCTAGTGGCATATTCATAAAATGGCAGCTTTTGATGATCAGTCCTTATTCTCAATGGCTTAGTATAGCGCTACAACGATAGTAGGTAAAAAGAATCTTTATTTCAAGTAGTATGTAAATCAAATTACATTCACAATACAGTGATCATAAAAATAAGGCAATTTATTTGTATTGTCAGTGTACTATGTCGGGTGATGATGAAACCTTGCACTAATTGTATAGGAGAAAAACACTTGTCCTAGCAGATACTGTGCACATCTTAGGACATAGAAACTGACATTCATTTTTTATAATAGAAAATCAGCACAATAAGCATTCGTTTATACTGGGGCGAAAAAATACACAAATTGTAAAAACACACTACATACAAATGTCAATAATTATCAAATTCACATTATGACAATGAAGGTCTGAGGTCTCTGGATAAAACATGAAGCACCACTGATGTTGTCTGATTCCTGATTAAAAAAAAGGGTTCTTGCACCAAGCCTTTCAGTTAGAATCCTGAAGGAGAAAATGTATAGCAGTCAGGTACAGCGGACCATCATGGTTACCCTGTCCACTTACTTAAGAACAGATCACAAAATCAACAGCATTAATAAGTCAACACCAAACTCAATGTCAAAATTAGATGCCTTCTGTGACAGCATGTGAGTCACACTATTCAGTAGTCATGTATGAGTGTCCGTTTTATTCCACATTTTAACTGTGTTTTTGGTACTATGAAGCTAATTCAAAATATCTATAAATGTCTAAAAATCTTATTATAGATTTAGTATTATATATTAGACCTGAATTAGTTGGGGGGGGTTTTGGGGGTTTTTTTAGCCCGCGGTGGGCATGCAAAAACTAAACACCATAGTGAACAAAAAAAGTGCATGTGAACACACACAAAATATTGGACTGCCATTGCTGACCTTCCTGTGAACAATCTTTGCCTAGCTGTCTCTGGACCACTAATCTAGAAAATTAATGCAGCCATTGATGTCAGGATGTGTCCTGATTTGCATACTTTTTCAGGGTCAGTGTCAAAAGATTGCAATGAAAGCCAGGAACTTGAAGGAGGATCTCAGAAGAAGGTCAGCAACAGAAGCCCATGGCAGTTTACTTGTAAGAATTACTAGATGCATTGTTAGGAGACGCTTAAAAAAATCCAATACAATTGTAAACCACCAAGTTAACAAGACCTGTTAGCATAATGAAAAATAAAGAAGTCAACACTGTGAAGGGTACAGCGCACCCCTTATCACAATCAAAACTTCAAGAAAACTAAAACAGAAAAACCTTACACCGAACAATCTGCTGAATGCACCTAACAAACAATACAAAATAAATATCTGTCAAGTTTAGAACATAAAATTAGATCTCTTTTGATGTTCTAAACTCTTAAAATTGAAAGCCAATCATTTTTTGGGATGTCTGTATTCTCTTATGCTGGCGTTTCCTGCATCTGGTGCAGTGTTTCTGTACCTGACCTAGCCAATGCTACAGGCTAACTGTTGGCCAACTTACTTGGGGTCCCACTTCTTCGAGGGGAGGGGCTCCGGCTTCTAGATAGCTGAAGATAAATAAAAATAGACATTGTTAACATTTATGAAAGCAGTGAAATAATTGTGTATATGTTATCAGCCACAATTATTCCTGTCCAAAATTCAGGAACTTACCAAGCTCCGACCAGGACTGACAGATCGAGAGCGCAGGGGACTGCAGCTTCTGCTTCTGCTCTTACGGGGGCTCCACTGAAAGGCAATGACATGTGAAATATGATGACACAAACATCTACAATTAGGCAGCCTAACCTCTGATATAGTGTACCTATGCTTTTAATGTGTGAGATAGGGCCTTTAAGCTGACCTCCAGGTGGATGTTACAAAACACCTTTTAAACCAATTAAATTTGTATAAAACTAAATCTTTAAATACATTTGTTTTAAATATAGATAAATACTGGGATCCTTTTTATATGTTTCCTAAAATCCCCTGAGGATGAGACCGGGAGAGGGAGGGGCTGCACTGTGAGCCAGTTGTGCTTTATTTCTTTTTACTTTGCAATCAGTCTTAACACAGTGAACATGCTTACAAGAGGGGAGACCACATAGATAAACTAGGGGAGGATAGGTGTGTGAAGAAGCAGAGATTCATTAGGGTTTTACCCCTATAGTGACTGATCAGATTGGTGAGTATTATTGCTATGATTTAAGAGAGAGGAGGGTTTTGACTTGTACCCATAAACAATGTTTTATTCAGGATAGCGAGGAGTTAAAAGACTCGCTCTTTCATTTGTTTTATGCACTGCATACTGTATATAGCTGACAGCATGCTTCTTTCAACTGTACTTTCTAACTTAAGGGCAGAGATTTATAAAAGGGTTTATCAATTGTGCTTGCCGAGGCAGCTTGAACCGCACAGATGTTTGGGACATGTAGTCCCTGATGTGCTGCTGCTCCCTACCCACTACAGTACTAGAGGAAGGAGAAGAATGGACTGGAGGAATCACATGACTGCTGCATTACATTCCCATCAAAATATATTTTTTCAGAAATGTAAGATAAATAAAAAGCATACATTGGCCAGGGGTAGGAGAGAGGACTGGAGAAATAATAACTTTGTTGCCTGGAGTTGCTTTATTATTGCCTTGATGCCTTGTTTAATATAGTGGCATGTTCAATTTATATCTGTATTTGCAAAATAAAAAATATATACATGTAATAATAACATGAAGGAATACAATTGTTTTAAACTAATATAGTTTCCCATAGATCTTACCAAGGCTCCTCTCTTGGTCACTGCCTCTCCCTTGATCACAGGAATATCATTTTCCATCAAGGCTGGCCATACATGGTAGAAGACTAGAGGCGCAGTAAACTCAGAATCATAGGTACGACGATATCTATGCAGAAAATCAAATATTTGTTTTATTTGTAGACCCAACAATGAATTCTGCAAATATGACACAACACAAATATGTAATGTTATTTATTATTTAGAAAAGCCGTTTTAAAATCTGCATTAGACATGTGTGATTCATTTACTTCTGAATTGATATTCGGACCAATTTCTGCATGGTCGGACATTCGGATGCATTCAAATTTCTGAATGAAAGAATCTGAACATATCCTAATTTTTGATAGCGAAAATGCAGATGCATCTAAATTAGTTTTTTTCGAATATCAATAAATAGATTTATGTTGTTAAACGTAGGAAGAAAAAAAACCAGCGTGGAGTCCCCTCCCCAATTCATACCTTACCCTTTGGGTCTGGTAGGAATTTTAGGGAGGACCCCAAAGCCAAAAAAAAAAAGGTAATACATATATTTTTTGGAAATCATCTCTTGGTTGTGTCTGCACTGCTGCTGTTTTTACTGTGTGGATCTTGAAGTCCATGAATTATAGGGGATCTGTGTACTTATTAGTACTGTATCAGGAACCTTTTTTTTCTGTGTGGAATTCCAATAGTGCGTTATGCCATTGACCTGTGCATGCTGGAAGTAGTGATTAGGATGGTGGGAAGTTACAATAACATATCACACCCAGCGCCCTAGTGCATCTGTGTAGGTTGTCATACAGAATATTGTATTCACAGTTAAACATATAATGATAACAGTGAGATTAGCCTTCAACACACACAGGCTTAAAAGATAACTGTACTTTTACAACACATCAAAACTGGAAAAGACAGAATCTGGAACAGTTGCCCATAGTAATCTATCAGCCTATCTCTTTAGTTCATTCAGTTAAGCTTTAGAAATAAAAGAGAGAAGCTGATTGGTGGCCATGGGCAACTGCTCCAGATTCTGTCTGCTCCAGTTTTCATAAATTGCCCTCATTGTCTCTTTTACTTAGGGATGCACCGATACTGATACTAGTATCGGTATCGGTGCCGATACCGAGTATTTGGGTGAGTACTCGTACTCGCCCAAATGCTCCGATACCTAGCACGAGTACTTGATCAAAAGTATCGGTACTCGTACTCGGTCATTAAAAAATTTTTTATCGGTGCATCACTACTTTTAATATATCCAAAACCTGCAGTTAGTGGAGAATTTATGGAACCTTGACCAGGATTTACATTACAGTAGAAACACATATTAATTAAAAGTGTAAACAATGTGCAGCAGTGACAGAGTGAAGACAAGACTTCTCTTACTTGGTTTCACTAAAGAGTTCTCCATCAATTGCAAAAGCAATATCCAGTGGGGCTTCAAGAGTCTGCATGGCAAATGCCACACGACACACTTCCCGGATGAAGCTGCTGATTAGAATAAAGTCTACTTCTGGTGGGAAGGAGATTTTGGGATTGACGTTCATTGCACTGATCACATCCTAGAAAGAAAGAAAAATAACAATAATAATAATCACTGAATAGTTTTTTTTAAAGGTAACCCCTGGTCTATACAAAACTAAGGTTACGATTCTTGAAAACAATGTTTACACAATTCCCATTGGAAAGCACTGAAACCCCAAAATGAGTGCACAAGTCTGCACACAAAGTGAGGAATGTGGAAGCTGACTTAAAACAGGAAAATAAACTGTGCATGGACATGGCTTCCTTCAGCTGCTCCTTCAGCTGCTATTGAGTTTATCTGTATATACAGACAAGCTAATATTATGTCACCTCAACAGGACCCTATCCTCTCTCTGTAAAAAGTTCATTATCTAGGGAATTAAACACAGTTCAGTAAGGACAAAGCATATGCACTTTTACTTTTAAAATATGTTATAGACGAACAGCAGTTGTTGCCTCCATGCACAACTTTTACTTTATTTTTATTAATTATACAGAATTGTTAATGGTCTTTCTAGTGTTCATCTGTACATCAGGGTAAGTGATAAACATCTTTACCATACAACAGTTGAGATAAACCTTAAAGAACATCTATAGGTCAGACTTGACCCACAGACCTGCACTGAGAGAATATAGCACTGAAGAACAGTGATTGCTCAGTACTACTGTGAAGAATAGAGGGTCTATATATAGTATGTAATGATCAAACATAGCTGCCCATAAATATGTACAAGCCATATACATAAATGTAAGGTAGATAGATAGATAGATAGATAGATAGATAGATAGATAGATAGATAGATAGATAGATAGATAGATAGATAATATTGAATGTACAATAATGTACTTGCAGGCAGACAATATATAAATCAGTAAGAATTCATTCAGAGCAGTAAGGTCTAGTAATACACAGTAAAAACATGCATGTTACCACTGTATTACAATGCATGAAACACAATTCAGTGCTATTCTTCATGAATGGCACCCCAACACACATAGGCAGCACCATAGAACACACTTGCATTGTAGCACAACACAACATACAAATCTGAATTATCTGTTCATGTGGTGCAATGCCTTAAAAAAGGTACATGCCCAGTTTTATGTGCGTTGAGGTGCATTGGCAGCCTTAATGCAACACATGTTAATGTTCCTTATACTGCACATTCATGTACGTTTGTTAACACGAAGCACTGGTGTGAATAGCCTCTAATATTCTCAGAGACAAGCCGCACACCAACACCTTGTAATCAGAAATTATGTTTTGTACATTATTATTTTTTAGAATTCCGGGGTAAATCTTACATTAACACTGGACTGGACATCATAGAGATCCAGGTTGCGGACAATATAGTCAGTCACAGCATCTTCCAAGGATTCGGGTCCCATGTGAGATGGAGACAGGGACTTTCTTACACGGAGCTTAAATTGTCTATATGCCATCTTAGCTGCATGGAAGGATTCCTGCACAGAACACAAGTGAGATAAAGTGCATATATTTATTTGTATAACAGCAATTTTAACAAATCTTTATGACTGCTGATTCATTTCTGGGCACAAGAAGGCACCGTTGGTTTTCCTCTGTTCTAGACTCTAGGGCAAGAAAAAAACCTAACACACAGTGGTGCACATAGACTTCATTGGTTCTCTGAGCCAGAAAATAGTATGGGCTCTGTTTTAGAGCGCATAGTCTCAGCCCCATGTGAAGGCCTTCCTGACACAATATAAACTCTTGACTCGGACAGCTCTTCCTAGGTTCACTCGCTGCCTTTTCTGTAAATTTACCAAGCAACAGCTGAGCCACTTCCATAGTACAAAGATATGTTCAGTTGATACCAGAAGGGTTAACTTTTATTATTTTGGATTATTGAAATGTTAAAACCCCTGTCAAGTTTTTATTGTTGTCTGTGTCCTTTCTGGGGAGATTCTCCCTCTCTCTGACCAGTCGCCAGTGCAAAAGGTGATGGGAAATCCAAAAATTTAGGTTGTCACCAGACAGGAGGCGAGGGGAAATATTCCAATAGGGGACACCAGTTCAAATAAGATGGGAATTTCTCCTCACTTAGGAAAGATTCCCTCTAACTTTTTTGTCTTAACATTCCTTACTCTATCCATAAAAAACTTTTGTCTTTTTATACACTTTAAGTATCAGCCTGCTCTCTTTACAGTGTTCTCCTATCAGATGAAAACTGCCACTATGAAAGGAGTCCCAATGGCTACCCCTGGTCTTTGTACATCTCGGGGGTGACTTAGATTTGAAGGGATTATTAGACGTTTCTACACACCAGCAATATCTGCCTTTTAGTGTCGAACATAAAAGGCCTATCTGTGCATACACTTTCAATGACCCCTACAGCTCACTCACTTTTAGGTTACAGTTACTAACACAGATGCCTCAAAACAGAATTTTAGCATTTTGCTGTCAATATGTGTCTGTAACTGAACTGACACTAAAATGTAGCACTGATTTACAGAGAGCATGTATTGGAATTCATCCAAAAGTATAAAAAAAATGATGTCATACCATAGTGGCAATAAAAATGATTCTCTGCACCATCTCAAGATCTTCTATGTAACGTCTCAACAAAGTCTGTGCATCTAGACGATCATTGGCATAGATGTCATTGAATCTGGATATTAGCCGACTGTGGCGAGAAGAGTTGGTAAGCTGGGCCGCTGTAGGTGACTCACTCCTGGTAAATGGGCTGGCTGATCTGCTAGAGTGACGGATCGGGCTCGGAGAGCGACTTCTGGAAAGCCTAAACCATGAACAAAGCGAACATAAAAATATGCTGAAAAGAACACTGAATGAATTCTTTTCAAATCTATATACAAATCAAAGGGATGTACATACATACAAAAAAAAACTAGACAGGTCCCTCATACAACAACATTCTACTAATGAGCCAGTTAATAAAAAAGGATTTTTTTTTCTTTTCAATTTAAATGCACAGACACAAAACATGACAAGCGGAGATTAGGGAGATGAAAAAGATGTAAAGTATGGAGAAATGTGGCAGAACTAATTTTTTTCTGGTCCAATACTGATGACTGATACATTTGGATGATTGTAAAATTGTAATTTCAGGAAAGCAAAATATTCTACTGTAAGATTAAATAATTTTCCTGTAAATTGTTCATTATTCCATCCTTCTACTAAATCAGTTTTACAACACCTGATTATCAAACCTATACATGCCTACTAGTGAGGACTTTATAAGTAGGCTTGGTTATTGTGCAATGCATTAAGGCTCCTGCTGTTGACTTTCATTAAACCATGTCTTTTTGGACCTGTCTTTGTGCACATTGGCACGGCCTTCCCTCTAGGGCCTCCCCCACACCGTTGTTACAAGGTTGGAAGCTCACAATTGTCTAAAACAGTCTATTTATGCTGTAACATTAACAGTACCCTTCATTAGGAATCCGAACTCATAATTTTGGCCATATAGTGTAGGTGTGATGGTCAGGTGTCCACAAACCTTTGCATATATATTGTACCTTTTGTCAGGAAAGCATTAATGTACAACCAACATGAGAAATAATGATTGTGTCAGATAGGAACACTGATCCTGCTATCTACATAAAAAAGCAGATCAAACAGGAACTTCAGGTCACACCAAACGACACCACAATTATTGACATTTCTTCCTTTGTAATTTGCAAATAATTATTTAACCAGCAGGAAAGGCGTAACATGGACAACAATGATCTCACTCCATAGATTCCCAGTGAAACAGTACCTTCCATGGAGCATACTTTTTTCTGCTGATAAAATGGAGATCTCATCCTTTAGAAGACGGATTTGGTGCTCATAGTCCTCTATTGAATCTAGTTTTCTCAGATCTAGTTTCTCTTGAGCTGTCCTCAGGCTGTAAGTATCAAACAATCAAGGTTTAATGCAGTTATGTAAAATGTACGTACAACGCATGTAATCAGATGACTATTTCAGTGCATTTGTTCATACTCTGCTTTCATCTGCAGTATTTCCTCCTCCGTGGCTAGGAGAGTGGTTGCTGATTTTGTTTTTGTCTCCTCAAGTTCCACTTGGGCTTCAAGCAAGCTGAAAATAAAGATAGTTAAAGTCAGATTTAAAGGTTTTTCTTTATTGCTTTGGCCCTCCTCATATACAGTATTCAAAATAAATCTATCCCAGCAATCAGTGGTTGTTTTTTTACATACAGTAGTTCAAAGGGAAATGTTGTTATGTTGTCTATATCAAGTTTTTGAATCAGCCTTTCTCAGTCTTTTTATTCCTGAGGAATCCTTGGAGTTTTCAGGGCTTAGGGAACCCCAGAAATAATTTCATGATCTACTTCTCATGAGACATTAGTGTAATCAATTCAATGTTAAATTATCAATGTGGATATAATAAATAAAAAAACCATAAATAACATTTATACTAACAATAACTCCACATTGGTGCTCAGCAGACACACTAATAGTGAATTGGTACTCAGCAGAAACGCAGTGCATTAGTGGTCTGTGGAAAATGCTTTTTTCCTCTCTTATTCATTTATCCTCCTAAATCTTCTAGCACTTTTATTCCCCCTCCTTTACCCCCTCAAATACTTTACTTTTTTATCCTCATGCGCCTTTTGCCCTCATTGCTGCCAGCCCTGCTGTGTTGGCAGACTGAAATTGTTTCTAGCAGTTGGGATACCTCCTATTAGCTCAATTCCTCTTCCCCCATCCTTGTCCAATGGTCACTGCTTTTTCTTCCCTATGGTGCTGGCAACCTGAGATTAATCCCATTCCCCACATAAAATATTTTCATATTGTGACTTTCAGCACCACAGAAGTAAAGAAATAGGGTTAGGGATGTACCAATACTTTTCAGAGACCAGGGCCGATACTTGGCATTTTCATGAGAACTACCAGGGTTGCAGGGGTTGCAGCTGGGACCTGGCTCTAGCGCTCCACCACTGTCCTGAAATCATTAGTCTGTATTGTTTTAGAAAAACTGTCACATGACAATAAACAAAATGTATCAGTACTCGTACTTGTAAGTACTTGGGCAAGTATCAGTACTCGTACTTGCAAAAAAGGGTATCGGTACATCCGTTTATTTATATTTATAAAAACAAAATCCTACATTTAAACAGAGATGTACAAATCCCGGGAGCTCCGTGTGCTCCTTACAAATGACAGCTGCCTCCTAAATTTTGAATTTTTCTCTAGTCTAGTCTTAGGAAAACTATATGTACTTGTACTTGTGCCGAGTACAGTACTTGGTATCGGTGCATCCCTATTATTATGGTAATCAAAAGGGGTTAATATGGGCACAAACATACAGCATGTACATTTTCTGATTTGTGATTTTTGTAATTGTTGTTTTTTCCTGATGTCTACTTTAGTAGGTATCTAAAAATGCATTAATATGCGTCCTTAGATCATTAATTATTTATGTTATGTCTTAAAGAAATATATATATGATTATGTCCTTTGCCAAAAAGATTTTTTTCCACCCCAGTTTGGATATGAAATGCAGGCACAATTTTGCGTTTAACCTGCAATTTCTGCAATGCTTTAATATGCTGGAATGTTATATTCCTCGACACATTTGCAGACTTCCAACTGTAAGTCATATATATTTGTTCCTTCTCTCATGAATAGATGCCATTCAATATCAGGTAGTAGCGCTCTTTCTTGTGTTTTTCTGGAATGTTATATTACATCATCTATCAGGTCTATCAAACTTTTTTTGGCTATTCTTCTCTTTTGGGTCACAGGAATACATTTACTATGTTCTTATGTGACTGAGTCAGCTGATGGCAGGCTATTGCCCGCTATCAGTTGACAGGGCAGAGCCATGCCACGTTCAGGAAGGATATAGACAACATTGTCAGGATCATCTCGGCTGCCTGATTGACAGCTGGCTCCACCTTTCAGTGTGTGGTTGAGAGCTGGAGCCAGCTGCGCCTGCCCACCCCCTTCCCCACCTGTCCGCAATGAGCAGAGGAGGGTTCAGTGACTAGAGTCACTGTTTTCCACTGCAAGCAGACTGAGAGCTGACTGATTAGCAGTCATGTGATCTGTCAGTTCTTAGTCTTGAGGTGCCCATACACTTTACAACCCTCGCAAGACTTTTGTCTTGCAAGGGTTGTAAAGTACTTTAAAAAACGTACGATCTGCCTATATTGTGAATAGCCCGTACAGCACCCCTTCGGTTCTACTTCGGCTAGCCGAAGCTAGCCGAAGGATCGGTCGAAGCTACGGCCAGATCCTTCGGCAGCTTGGTGAATAGACCCCATATTTTTCTTTTACTTACAATTATTGTTTTTCTACTTCCTGGTCATCTTGAAGATACGGGTCTTTAAGCACTGCCATGCTGTGCAACAGCATGGATCCATGTTCCTTGTAGTGTGTAGTGTGTACTTGTCAAATATAAACATGTAGCATAAATGACTGGAGACCAGTAGTGTGCCTCATCTTTGCTTTTGCTTCAGAGGTGCTTTGATGGACGTGCGGTATCATAGAAGGGATTTGCACGACAATCTGAGACTTATCTGGCTTTGAATGTGAAGCTGAAGTTGGAAGTCAAGTTATGTATTAACATTGCACTCACTCTTGTCTGACGGAATTCAGTTCCGCTCGTGTAGAGGCCAGCTGAGTCTCCAATCTTTGCAGATCCTTTTCCTGGGAGGATGACAGTTCCCTTAGTCGTTTGTCTCTTTCTAGTGATTCCTGGCAGGTAAACATATTCAGTCATTTGTGTACACATATAGGCTGAAGTCACACTACACACATGTGGACAATAGTTTTGGTGACCACAAGGGATTTCCCTTCCTTTGGAGGGAATTCCTCTCACTTCCTGCTGTAGCTATAAGACATGAAGTAAAGAGAAATCTGCCCAATGGGACACAGATGGCAAAAAAAAGCTGACTGGGTTTTAACCCTCCCTTACTCTAACCAAAACTAAGAAAAAACATTTTGGCTTCAGTTCTACTTTGAGCGGAGTTTGGTGAAAATGCACATCGTTTCCTAACTGTTTAACATTTGTTTCATTTGTTTTTGTATGCTTACACTTGTATCTAATGTATGTCAATGGGGTCTATTCACGAAGCAGCGGAAGGATCTAGCCGTAGCTTCGGCCGATCCTTCGGCTAGCTTCACGGGAACCGAAGGGCTGCTGTACGGGCTATTCACTATAGCCCGTACAGCTCCCGAACTTAGCCGAGCGGCTCAGTCGAGCCGAAGGCATATGCCTCGGCTCAGCTGAACCGCGCTGAAAGCCGAAGCTGGTCGACAGCCTGCTTCTGACAGGTGGGCGGAACCAGCCGTGATCTTACGGCTGGCTCCGGTCAGTTGCAGAGAGATCAGCGTCCCTGGTTACCAGCTAACCAGGGACACTGATCTCCAGACAGCAAACTCTCCCAGGCGCTCTGGGAGTCTCCCGCTCCCGGCCGTCCAGGAGAGAAACACTGCTTTTTCTTTTTTCTTTTCTTTATTCTGACACGGAGCAGTGTCAGAATAGTAAAAAAAAAATAATAATTTTTGACCATAGGATTGCATTGCTAGATTCGTATTGGCTATTGCAATTTGAATAGACAATAGTAAACTAGCATTGCACCCGCCCTCTGCTGATGGACCTGATGGAGAACTGCAGCAGAGGGCGGGTGCAATGCTAGTTTACTATTGGCTATTGCAAATTGAAATAACCAATAGGAATCTAGCAATGCAATCCTATGGGCAACAATATATATATATTTTTTTTTCTATTCTGACACGGCTCCATGTCAGAATAAAGCAAAAAAAAAGAAACAGCAGTGTTTCTCCCCTGGGCGGCCAGGAGCGGGAGACTCCCAGAGCGCCCGGGGGGGTTTTTTTTTTTTTTTTTTTTTTACAGCAGCAGAGCCGCCAGACAATAGGAAACTATTGGGCGGAGCTAGCTGTCACTGCTAGCT